GTTGTTGTTATTGCCACAAAATTGATTTTGGTGACGCAAAGTCGAGTTAAAGTCAGATGATGGTCAGTTTGTATATATATGAAACATATGTAGTGTAATTAATGCTGATCATTTCTTAAAATTGAATACCCGCTATGTTATAAAAAACGGGTTAATATTTGGGGTTTGTACTATATATATTAAAAAACAAAGATGATTAGAGATTTACAAAAACATAAGAATGTAATTACTGGATGAATAATGATACCTTACCTCAACACGCATCAAAGATATAATAAGTTTCTCTATAATTTGCAAATTATTGATTGATAAGGGTAGTTTAACTTTTTGAAGCAAACCTAGATGCCAAACTCCTCTTGTTTTCCAATCCAACCCATATATGTTAAAATTATAATCTCAAATCAAATAGATTGTGTTATACAATAGGAATGTACTGGAAAAAATTAAAATTATTGAACTTACTAAATGTGTATACTCTGAGAATAAAAAGATTGTGAAACTTGTTTGGATCTATGCCATTGTTTTTATTCCTTTGTTTATCAACACATCTTGTAACACAACTGCTAGATCAACTTTGACCATCCATTTTTTACTTTTTGGTGCCGAGGGAAGACCACCAGGTCTTAATCCAATTAACATTTCAAATTGATCCTTGCTGATTCTGAAATACATCTTTTGTCCAATTAAGCTTCTGTCAGTGGGCTTGGTTTTCATGATGGTGATTACTGATGAAGCAAGACCTTGAATTTCTCCTCTGTGCATTGCAAATTAACAGGTGAATCAAATTGACAAATACATAAACAACAAATAGCCAATAAAAACCTACTCTTCATAATGATAAATTTGGTCAAAAGTTAATATTCCTCTGGTAATCGTATTTGTGAAATTGCTACCAAATGAGGCTTCAGACATTGGCAAATGTAAGCGTTGCAGATTATACGCACTATTTAATTTAAAATTATTAAATCTTATGACTATCAAAAAACCAATGTTATGAATAGGCAAAAAAAGAACTTACTATGTCTGAATAAGTCATCTAATTGCATTAACTCTTATATTGTCCTATAAATGATGATCATTAGATCTGCACTTTCATAAAAAAATCAATACAGATGGATATACATACTTTAATCACACAACTTTCAATTCTGGCAATTAGGTCAGAAGGTTTCTCCATTAACATTTAACATGGGGACAGCTTATTTAACTGATACATTAAATGAAAGATAGTTAATATAAATTCACTAACCTTGGTGATTTTGTCCATCAGCTCATAGATAGGCCTCTCTTGTTCATCTTCCAAACCATTTAAATTAACATTGCTCTTAAAATCTTGAGTCATTTCGTTCCATTCTTCATCTGTGAACAAATTTTTAACTTCAATATCCTCTCCAGAAAGATCTAGTATCCCAAAGTAGGTCAGACTAAAAATATCAATATTAGAATTTAGGAAATTAAAACTAGAGAGCAATATGTCTATGCTTCCAAAAGAAAGTGTAACTCATTATAGACATGCCTTGGTGCAGGGAATATTTTCACGGTATTTGGATAATACTTTGCCAACATCCTTACCATTTGACAAAACCCAACTTGCGACAGTTTCAGATGAAACCTAAGTTAAAAAAAAATGATGATAATTAGGTGAACATCAAAAGACATAGTTGTTAGTATACCAACCATATCAACCAGAATTTCTTCTTTGAAGTACAATTGGATACATTTTCTTCATAATCTTGATACTTTTCATGATCATCAGAATCGTTATCTAATTGTGAAGTTGTGCTTCTGCATTTTGGTTCTTTATAATATGGATTTTCAGGTTGTTCATTTTTTTTCAAAAAAATAATAGTTAAAAACGAAATAGTCAATAACATTATAATTTTGAAATCAGGGCTGTCTAGTGTAAAATTTCCATCAATTGGTTTCAATAAAATGTAAAATGCATGTGAAAAACTTAAAATAATTATAAATAATATTATTAAAAATGAGAAAACTTTTTTAGCAACTCCTATAATGATTGCAAAATATTTTCCAAAGTATGTAAATGTTCTTAAAAACAACATAAATTTCAGATCTAATAACAAATTAGATGATGAAACCAACTCAGTAGCTGGTGAACCATTATAATATAGCCATAGAATTGAAGTAATGATTGGTAAGTAATATGCCCCAAGGTCTATTAAATAAATAATAATCATTATTAAATTATTAACTAATAATAATAATTAATAATAATAATATCATACCAAAATAATTCCAGAAGTCAGTGACATATTTCATTGGGTTCCAAATAAATTGTCTCATTTCAAAATTAAGATGAACCAACCCAAGGATGATTGTAGTAATTAATAATGAATTTCTATTTTCATCAGATAATTGATCTGGTGAAGCAGTTGTTGCAATTGCAAAGCATAACAAAAATATTATATAAAAGACCCAAATATTTGAATCCAAAATTATTCCATCATCTTGAATACCAAATAAATGAACTTTACATGGACTAAGGTAATAAATTTTACTTACTTGTTGATCTAAATGTGGCACATGAACATTTTGGGCTCAATCATAACT